CCAAAATTGTACATTAAATTTTTTTCAAATTTTGTTTGATAAAACACTTTGACAATAATTCTCATGATAAACAAAACCAGACATTTTGGAGCTGAAACTCAAACGATTTTGCAACAGACAATTTTTAAACCCTTATGTGATTCTAGACAATCCAACTTTCTACCAACTAAGATAACAACCACCAAGCCTATAAAAAGGTAAAGTTCTACTCACATAAGCACATTATTTAATAACCAGTTATATGATATCAATGTATAATTCACCATACAGTTCCACGTACAAATACTATGATGTTCAATAAACTGCCAGGTTATGTTTAAATACTCTACACATTTAGGCCAGAAATCTGGATATTCTTTATTAAACTGGAATGAAAGCAAAGTTAAATCAAAATCAACGCTTTAAGCAGACTTGATATGTAAAAAAAATTCTAGGTTCAAAACTTTTAGCATAAGTTAAAAAATAGTCTCAATTTTGATATTGTCAACTCAAGTGCTGTGAAATAGTCACTATATATAATGTTTTAGATTGAATAGTTCAAGATGAGGTAAACTAGCTATGTCCAACTTACTCAGACATGAATATTATTGTAGAAAAATTTTTAAAAAGCTTTTTGAATGACATTAAATGCTTACCCAGTTAACAGCTTGTAATACTTTAGCCCATGCTAACTTTATATAAGGTTTGGTAACATCACCAATATAGATAAACAACTGTACAGTTTTATTCCAAGCCAGAGTCATGTACGGTACAACTTTATCTCTGTACATTGGGGCATTCACATTCAGCCAACTAAAAATAAAAGAATATACTTATACAATATACATATATATTTCTGAAGAAAACTAATTAACGACGTTTCATGATTATGTACTAAATCCAGCTTGTTCCATAGAAGGAAAGACATGAACATAAACATTGACAACCTTTTTCTAAGGAATCCATCAAAAAATGCCTCATTCAGATAAAACATAGAGTAAACTTACTTTTGAGTTTCTTTATGAAAGTTTTGAACATTTTTCCATCCCTTATTGGCTACATTGATAACTCCATATTTCTCAAGTGTCACCATAGTTCTCGATGCTGCAAAGAAAAAAATAAAAATTCATTTAAAAATTGTTGACAATATTTCTTAAAAGAGAATAAAATTCTAATTCATAAACGTTCAGCTTAACTGGTTGTGTTAATCACTGATAGTCAGTGAGTGATACTTACATTGTAGATTTTGACTAGTGCTGACATCATAGGCTATTAAACCACCTCCAATCGTTAATAATAATAATAATATCAGTTTCCATGGATATCCACTCTGACTTAACTTCAATTGTAACTCCTAGAATTCAAATATTTCAAAATTAATAATGGCAAAAAGATGACAAATTATTCCTCAATTTTCAATGTGAATCATTGAAACCTTCAGGGCATATATCAAACATGTAGTTCATTAAATGTTGTATTAATATTAAAATCAGATAATATAGAGAAAGTGGTGAGCAAAAAAATACTACTTCCATTTCAGACTAACATTGAAATCCAAAACATTTTTTCCAAAGAAGTTAATAATTATTACTGAATAGTCATATTTGTTAAACATTACTACAAAACTAAAAGTATAACAATCACTGAACAAAGTTAGTTATTAATAATTTATTCTGAACTGATTCTGAAATAACCAAAATTTAAAACGTACAAACCTTGCATACTACAGTACATTTGTCCACACCCTCTTTTCTATTTTTAGGTTTTGCTTGTGACAACTCTTCATTAGTGAGACAGAAAGAACGTATAGTTTGACGAAGAACTTTACGTGGTAGTTTTTTTACAACTGTGCTATAATGATCTTGCATATATTTTAATAAACACCTGAAACATTAAATAAACAACTATTTTATAACATTTACATTTCTCAATATCACCAAATGTAATGTTATAACTTGTATTTCATACATCAAAAATTAACAATTTGAAGAACAAGCAAACGATTCAAATCTCCCAATATAAGTCCTATAATATAGAGAATAAGTAGTATAAACTATAAGACTCACTGCTTTAAGTTCTTTGAAGGATTGTCACAAATATGAGAGAGAAATCTGAACAAGTTAAAGTTAGCTACTAGTCATCTAACTACATTAAAATGCTCTCGAAGTTTGAAAACGTTTATCTAAACAACATTCTCATAACAAAATTCTTAGATACACATTTCATGTCAATTCCAAATAATATAGAGAAAGAGATACTTACCCTGATTGGGTTAAATATTTGGTATACAGTTGACACCAGTCAGGAAAACATTGTTTATCTGTACTTAAACATTGAATTAAACTGGATAAATACTGAAAATATACATTTAGTTATGCTTTTTCTTTATTATCTAAATGAAACTACTGAACAAATTCTGGTCATAATTCCATATAAAAAATAATCCGATATCTGGTAGCACACAATTCAAACCAGGAAAAAAATATTAATGTAAATATCTGCATTACTTACTTCGTTTTGTTGAGCTGCAGGAGAAGAGTTGTCTAAACGACTGAGATAATGTGGAAAGAAATTTCTTAGGTTCGTTTTGGGGTCACTTCCATATGCTACCAGCTACAATAAAAAGGTTTTATATTGATATTGTTCTCAAAACCAAATCACAGCTATCAGGACTTCATTAGAAAGCACTGGCTGTGCGAGGACTAGAGTATACTTATTCAATTTACCAAGGAGACAAAATTCATCATAACAGTAACAAAAGTCTCTATCACCAAGCCCAATTTGCCCAAAATCAAAAATATTCACCTTCACTTTTTCAAGTTGTAAATTGAGGCGTTCTCGTAAATCAGGTTCAATAATTGTTTTAGAATGTAACAATAAATCTAATGCTGTAAAATATTCTTTTATTGAAATTTCACCATAGGCTTCAGATAAAGATGTAAACCTCCTGAAATAATAACATTGAGTTAGATGTCATCCATTTTAAGCTAAAGTTGAGCAAAACATAATTTAATTTCATAATATGAAATGACACCTACAGGTCTACAAAAAAATAACTCAATGCATCTGGAACAGACTGTTTTAATGTTATACATAATCATACTTACCTAAAAAAATCCTCAATATAATTCAATGCATAGGGTGCTACTAATTTGTTCCTCATAGCAGGTATATAATCAACAACAATAGCTGTAAATACAATTTTATAAAATGTCCTTCATTGTTTTACCCATGAGAAAATCTTGACAAAACAATATGATTTCCAGCCAAATTTAAATAATATTTGCAAGAGCACTAGACAATATCATGAGCTAAATCAGGGTATAATTTTCATGTCATGACAAAAACAAATGAATATAATTGGCAATGTACATTCAAGATACTCATGACAATTAATATAGACATTTTAATATTTACCTTTAACTCCAACTTTTATATCTCGAGAACAGCATTGAGATAAAGACCATAATGCTAATTCACTCTGTTTCTCTTTTAATTTATTAGCATTCACTATTTCTAAATACTGAAACAGATATGGTAAGATAAGTATTTTAGTCCAAACAGCAAGCAATTTAGCAGTTACTGTCACAATAAATTGAGCTCATACTGAAAAATTTAGAAATATAGCACATTTCTCTGAAACATTTATACCTCCTGGTTTATGATTTCAACATAATACGTAATGTAAAATTGCAATGGAAACACTGAACTTGCAAAAGGGGGAGCTAAATTAAAAAGATAATTTTAAAGCTTGCAATGCATAATAAACATGGCGATATATATATATATATATAAGGACCTCACCTGGTTTAGTCTTGGTACTATAATATTTGGATTATCTTTAGATAATAACTGCAGAATAATCTGATAACCATATATAGCACCTGTAATATTAATATAAATCATCATAGTTTGTGAATCATATGTACAGATGACTATCACAGGAATAGTCCATATAAAATGTTATTGTCTTATTGATTTGAATCAGTATAAAATTATTTAAGGATATAGGATGGATGGTTATATCAAAAGGTAGAAAAAGGTGCAGAAATGACAAACCGATATTGACATTAAATATTCTATAAAACTTCAATCTGAGGCACACACAATATCATCAACCATGATCTGACAACCTACCTTTATTAGATTCATTCACCATGTTTTGAGTGGTAAGAAAATAAATCTGTTCCAATGTTGGTATTGAAGCTTGTTTTAATGTAGTTAACAATCTGTTACTACAGTCAGACTTCAAGGCACTTGCAGGATAATCTGAAAAAAAAATTATCAGAAAATAACAAGAAAATATGATAACTTATTACATGCATTTAAACAAATCACTTGTTTTGAGGCTTGATAAGCTTTTTAAACAGCTTCCAAAGCTAGTTCAGATAACATACATTTATTCTTTACGTTTTTGAAATTACTATTTCAATGGTTTCTTACTTTTGGGTTTATCTTTATGAAGAACATCTGGTTGTGGAAGTTGTTTAAAATATGAATTAAAGACCACAGTTAATTCTTTTATCCATGCTTCAGGATTAGTAGACTTAACAGAACCTTGAGCTTTTTCTACCATGTTCTTTACATCAACTTCTTCTAACTAAAATCAAAATTGAAAAACCTATAATTCATATCTGATACTATTAGCTTAATGACTATCCAAGTGAAAAAAAATAATCTGATTTAAATCAAAGCAAAATATTTTATTTTAACCACATCAACAACTAACACTCAATTATGAATTTGTTTCATAGTTTCTCAAACTAAAATATGACACATATGGTACCTTTTTGGTGGCTTCTTCCAACGTCTTGGGTTTTTCTTTCTTCTCTTTATTTTTCTTATTCTCAAAATGATCATTGCTAAAGTTATTTGATGAATTTTTTTCTGTGATTTTCTGTTTCTCAATGAAGGCATCATAAGCAGTTTTGGATGTTTTTAATGGAGCTGAAATTGAAGAAGTTGCATAGATAAGCTTATAAGATATATAATACAAAGATATTGTATGCAAGCTAGAAATAATATAGTCGCTTTAAACTGATACTAGACATTAAACCTAGTAACTTATTTCTGACAAAAAATTTTCATGAACTGAAACACCAATTTCACTGCAAGTTGTAATTAGTAACTTAAGGAGAGTAAGTAAGAAGTGTAAGATATCTCAAATAATTGATATTCCAGATAAACAATTAAAATGACCCTAAATTTAAAATCATTTTAATTTCAAAGAACATTCGTAGTTGAGAGATATTGTTTGAATAAATATATTCTATTTTTTCAATCAGAATCTGGTGCCAATGTTTAACAGATAAATAAAAACAGAAATCAATTATCATGATTTATGGCTATGCCTATGAAATAAGATAGATGCTCTACAATGTTAATACCGGTATTACATGCAATTCAGCAGTTAACATTTTATTTCTAATGAATTTCTCAAAGAAAGCATTAAAATTCACAGAATCACTGATAAAAAGAACGCCGTGTTCTCTACATTGATCATTATTTAGTTGTCGAATTCAACGCGACAACAGCCAAATTTGATGACGTATGCACTGATGTAGTGATATAACGCCTGATGAAAATATTTAAGCTCTCTAGTGAGTTATGAAGAAAACTTACGATTGGATTCGACCCTGGGCATATTCTCTATAAAGGTCTTTGTTTGATTTTTCTTCGATTTCAAATTTTCAGGCTTATTCGCCTTATTTTTCATTGGAACAGTTTCCCACTTTCCTTCGGAGGCCATCATGGTGAAATTTCCGATCTTCAACGCGGAAGATTTAAAAGGCCTTTAACCGGTATCACGTGACAGTAATTACCGTAAATAAACCAATAAGCGTTCATGGCCCGAGGAAAAAGAGATTTATAACAAAACTCTCATATATTGAGAATTAACTTAAAAACAAAGAAAAAAAACAATAGAATCTGTTGAAAAAATAGATAATCTAATCCTTTAAAACAATGAGTAAATTTCGGCAGTCTCGTGACCACTTGACAGAATGTCAACCTGACGAGTCGACTATAAACCTGAGTAGACACCCTACTTCCTACAAGACCTTTTCATAACAGTATTAAAATCATCAATTCATAATTTCTTATTTTTAAATTTATGCACAAATTTAAGCAACTTTATGGACCAATAAACTATATCTACAATATTGGGTAATCATTATTAAAGGGATACTACGTCTTACAATAATCATAAGATTTAAAAATTTTAAACTTTGCCAACAAGAGCATTATATTCATCAGTAGATATACCTGGTGTCAAAAATAAGACAGCAGGTCCTTATATAATCCGATAAATCCAAAAAAAAAAACTTAATAAAAATGCAATCAACTATTGAAAAACGCTTAATATGTATAATAGTTGGCCTATCACTTTATTCAATTATGCACTTGAGGACGACGGTGGAAACACGTCGATTGATACGTTGCACAAAACTTTAACCAGTAATTGTTGTGCCACAAAGCTGTGTCTATACAACTAAGGATCGTTTTAAAGGGACAGATTCGCCATATTTGGGAGTTGATTTGAGTCCTGAATATATGTAAATAGTCTTCAGAAGTACTAGAAATGTATGAAAATCACATAATTCTTTCAAAAATATCTCTACTAAGAATTTCTTTTCCCATTTCTGTAGATGTCGTTTCTACATATGGCAAGAGAAGACGTCTTTTAACTGACATGGATTTGAAGGCTCAAATTTCGACGTTAGCTATGAACACTATTACTGATTAGCTAAGCTATAAAAACCACGTTTCTGAGACTACGGTATGATTTGTAACAAAAATGGCACATCTGTCCCTTTAATGAAATTCTAGAACTAGAATTCCAAAAGGGTTATTCAACTTTGCTACCGACAGATTCCATTAGTTATAGTCTCTGTTGTATATTTGGAGATCAATGGAGAATAACTTTATCGAGATTATAGTGACTAGGTCAATTAATTATATAGTATTATATTCCCGAAATAAAACCATTCAGGCCATTTAGAAGGTTAACCTTTCAAGTTTTAGCCATAAATTAAATATTTTTGTAAAGGATTTCAGGGGTAGCGTGAAAAGCCAAATGGAAATAAGCAGGGGACTGTATCTCACTATTTATACGACGATCATTGATTTCAAAATATATTCTATTTCAGTAGGGTTGAATTTTATTACAAAAGAGCATGAAATTCCTTGTGGATGTGAAGGGTTATTGGATTGGGCAATATGGATTTTTCAACAAACCGCAAAACTCAAATAGTCTCATAACATTTCATACCCAGTACATCATATATAATATATTTATGATCTAAAACATGATGTCAGTGCGTTGGAGCTCAAAACTGGATGACATAAACGTTGTATTTTAAATTCTATTCGCATTGCATAACATGACTAATTGTGAAATCAGACTGAGTAACCATTCGGATACCTTTATAAAATCAATTTGTGATCAATGAAAATGAATCTGTCTACAGAAGAATTCTTAAAAATTGGTAAGTCGTGTATAGATTTTGAAAAATTTGAACGAACGAGCTGCTGGAGCAAGAAAATATGTATAAAATTTTCTGAAAAAACAAAAACACAGAATATCTTTCTTCTATTACAGTTCATAGCTCTTATCTTGGTACTCTGAAAATTGTTTTGAACTTGAATTATTGTACCTTTCCACGGTTATAACCGTTCGTTTTCCATTGTAATCAATGCAAACGGCATAGCCCTGGAATCATGTGCAGTGGCTCAACTAAAAATTACAGTGAACTTAAGTTCTAAAATATAGTTGCTTCTCTGTTTCTTTCTTTGAGGTGGAGGCGGCATTGTGCGCTTTTATGTGACAAGTTGCAGGATAATGTTACATTTGGAAATGCAGGCCTTTTATATGATTTCATTATGGAACACTAAAAGTGAACATATTTTGATATTCTATGTTTTTATGTACACGTAGGTTTCTTTTTAATGTCTAAAGACAGAATATCTGAGTTTGATAAATCTTGGAAAGTGGACTACGTGTATTTTATTTATAACCTTTGTCTAATGAAAAGGAAAGGGTTGACCTTTTTATAGTTTTATAATGTGAATATGAAAGTGTTTTTATGGTATATCAATAAGTGTTTTTATGATCGAATACAAACCAATATACCCCCTAATCCTCTATCTTTTCTTTAAACAACCCTACTGTATTACTCTTTAAACAAAACTAAACAGTTTCTTGGCTGGATTTAACATTTAAAAAATATAGAATAGGCCTTAATAAATATTTTATGTACTTTGAACGTTTCTCGAATCTGACCGTGGAAAATATTATATTTGAAATGGATTGTGGAATTGCAGAACTGTTTTGTGAGTTTATCAAATGTTGTGTACTCGCAAATTAATGTCAGTCTCATGCCCCGTGATGCCATCTGATGGCTTGGCTTATATTTGTTCAATTATGGATATATAGGGCTTTTGTTAGTGAACAACCTTTTTTCAAAATATATATGTGCATTGCATCGTGAAACAGGATCTATTAATAGCAGATATATTTACAAATAGAATCAATGTGAAGTCAATAGGCTTAAGGCTAAAACGAACTTTTATGGTGTTCTTTACGGTATTGCAATCAATAATTTACGTATGAATACATCTAGCAGACGAAATTTCCAGAATTTATTATAGATTAGTGTAATATATTCTATCTTGTACAAAAGCTAATGATCAGCAACAATTCAAACAATAGGGAAAACGTTTTTGCCAATAAATATATTAATAAAGTTATTTTTTGAAACTATTTTACTTTGCACTTTTAGATTTTGGTAATACGGTTTACAAGAAATCAACTTCCGGTTTCAATGGTGGCAAATTCAATACAAAGACAAGAAATGTCGGCGAAAAACGTAAATTACCACCGATTTCTGACGATTGCAGTATGAAGAAAACTTCCTCCTCTATGTCTGTATTAAATGGTGACAAAAACAATGACGGGATAATGATTTTGCCGTACGTTCCAGTTGTATCAGCAGGCCATTCGGGATCGTCACTAACGTCAAAACAATATCAGTCATCATCATGGGCGATAACTCCAGTCCACCAAAGCCCTCAGTCACTTGTAACAAGACAGAATATCATTTATAAACCTGATCACAATTCATTTAAAGGTACATTTACTTCTATTTTATTATTCTCCATTTCAACATTTAATTACATAGTGCAACCGTTTATTCATTTCTGATAAGGCTAGGAACAGACATGGGAATGTCAACTTTAAGTTTAGTGTGGACACTGTGCTTGATCCAATCATTATCATACTAGCATAGCTCGACATGAGAGTTGCAAACTTTTAAATCAGGACCTTGATTAAAAATCGTACTATTTCTAGTTACATCTACCCAATCTTGCAATTAGTATTTGGCTGCGTTGCTTAAAATTGTGGTGACAATTAGAGCTGGATATCTATTAGCAAATTGCTATCGATTAGCCTATTGATGGTAAAATACCAATCAATTATCAATTAATAATCAAAATATTTTAAGTGAGAAATCTTCTAAATACTAAATGAAAATCAGTTTTATTTCCATGTGTCATAGAGGTATTATTATTGCTATGATTGGTTATTATAGTTTGTTCTGGGTAAGTGATGTGTTGAAGGGAATCTGTGCAAGAAATTATCACTTATGATTATTTTACCCAGCCCAAGTGACAATAAAGCCGAACTCCTTGGTTTGTTTCTTGATGTCATTGTTTCTTTATTGTTTTACAGTTCATTTGACTACTGAAAACAGAAATGGTTCTAGCTATGAAAGAGAGGAAACGTTTGAAAAGGAGATGGATGGTCAAAATAGGTGAGTTACAATATTTATTTTGTGTAATTTTGAAATTGCTGCATTTCACATCATTGAGAGATTTATAAAAACTTTACTCTTAACTGTATTTTGAAATACCAACAATTTGAGAAATGATGCATACATGTCTATGCTATTTTGGAATTGAGAGTAATGCCGTAATTCTATGTTGTTGTATAATAAAAGAAGTAAGAAGACACCTTAAAGAGTGACTAAAGTATCAGGTATTTTATTCTACAACCCTTCGTCGTCTGGCTATTTAATTGGGATTCGATCCTGTTTATATATACATGTTTATTATGAAAAAAATGTCTACAGAAGGTGTTTTCAATGTTATCTCCCTTGGTACATAACATTTGATAAACATGATGACATAATTCAAGAATTACATGACCATTGATTAGATCTTTGCTTCGAATTACTTGTTCTCATAAGTTTCTTAACTGCTCTAAGATATATTTATCTAGACCTATTTTCAATAGAGATTGACTGGTTGTATTGTTTAGAGAAACAAGTAAAATATTGATTCTCTTACACATCTTTTGAATATAATTTGGTCTGATTATTTTGGTTTTCTTTTTGTAAATTTCAATGTGACACATTTGTTTACAGTTACAGAGAAATAAAATTTCAGTTACCATTCTCTGGCGGCTCAGCTTCTATGTTTTCTTATTTTTTGAATGAATATAGTTCATAGCCATACAGGTTACATTATTTTGATGGTCATTGATGCAGATGTGTGACTCTCTGACTTTTTTTGCTGTCTTGGTCAGTTCTAATTAATTATCTCACATTTTTATACCACTTTATATCCTAAATTTAATGTGTAACCAAGTTAAGTTAAGCCTCTTCAAATGTAATTTGTAACACATAAGGATATAGATGGCAATTTTTACGGTTTAATAATTCAAGTCTAAGACTTCTCTGGAATTGAAGTTGTCTTCAATTTATTTGAATTCCTGTAAATTATTCATGCATTCTGTGTCACTAGGAGTTTTCTGAACGAGAAGAACTCTTTTAACTATGTAAGTCTTTAATTATTTATGATGTTTTCTGAAGTCATGCTGTCTGGAAGGGAACTTCAGGTTTCATTTTGTCCTCAATTATTTTAGCACTGTGTATTGGTCAACATTCTGTTTAGTTTTGTAGTCTGAGGATCATAATTGTTAGACTGCAAAACTATATTTTATTGGTAAATATGTGATGTACTTTTTTGTGTGCTATTTAGATATAAGTGATCTGAATGTTTGAAATCTGATCTGTGTGAGAATTGCAGAATCCTCTGTAAAATCTTGAAAAAAATAATCCCACAATCCCAACTGATTTTAGATATTTCTGGATTAATTGACCATGCTTCCATTTTATTCTGTATGCTCTTGACAAGTTTTCTTTGCGAAGAAGTACATTTATTCATGATGCTGAACTTTTGATGTATGAATCAATTAATATTATATATGAACAGTACCAAGACATTCTACATAATAAAGATCTATATATGGTGTGTATATAGGCAATTATATTTAGCAATTTGTTGTATGAAGATTTATGTTGGCAGTTTGAGTTGATTTTCAAGGCATATTTTGAATCATCTATGTCATAATCTAAAATCAGAGTTAAAAATCAGATAATTTACAAAAAAGTTGCTGGGTACAAACAAATGGAGATCTTGAAACGTGGATTTGACATTATTGTAAAAAACAAAATTGGTAAACCGGCTTGCAAAAGTTCAACAGGAGTTTTGTTATTTTGAATCTTGGTGCATATCTCTCTTTAAGATTAAAATTGTGTGAAACATGATACCATTTCTCTATGATTTTGCCACATCACGTTTGAAAGTGATTAGAAATAATGAATTAAAATAAATGCTTTTAGTAATGTCAATATGAAATGACTTTTCTAATCATGCCTAATCTTAATTATAAGAATATTTTAAAATGAGGTCTGCTGTAGAAAAATTCCCAAAGAGAAGTTACTGTTGTTTCAGTTAAGTTTCAAGACCATCACTGTATTATTGTTAGTACTGCATGGAGTAACTTATATACATGTGGCTATTTTATGTGAAAAGTGACTTAAAAGGCTGATTACATGCTATATTTGGATCCACTCAGTATTCGGTAGTTGGCACGCATGTTTAATGCCCACACAGCTAATGAAGAAATTGAATATACTTAAATTAATATAATAAGAAACATCAATTCAGACTATTGAATTCTTTCTCTTAAAAAGTAATAAAATGACCAAAGAAAGTATTCAACTGACAACAGGCCTTTGTTTAAATAAAGTAATGTGAAAAGTCAAGGAGACTAAAAGGTAAATATCCTTATATATTGAAGGGATTTATGATAAGGGTTTTTATTAGTTGCCTAGTTCAATGTAAATTACCTAGTAATCTTGTTGGTCATAAACTTTTAATTCTAGAAAATAATATTACAGAAGAAGTTTGATAGTCTTTTTGTTTTGGCTGTAAAGTTCTGAATTCTGAATCGATCTGTGAATTAATGATTTGACCAATTTGGAATAGGATGGTTGGTTTTTTAATGGTTGACATCCAATATTTTATGAATTTTCTGTCAACTGAACTCGTCGTTTTTGTTTTTCTTTGAAGTGAATTGATTTTGCTGTGGACTAATCTTATACCGGTATAAATGAATAGACAATTGGTTTATAGATTTAATAAAAATGTGAACGTACACATAAATTTAATTTTTATTGAAAGTGTTATATTTTATCAAGTGTTTATATATTGAAGCTTTATGTTCTAGTTTTAATATATTATGTTAATCCACAGGGAAATAGATAATATATAAATCCAATTAATATTGAGTAAGATTAACTTTATGAAAGCTTATTATTTTATTGTGACAAACCCAGCTGGACTGAGATCTCAGACACTGATGTAGGTCTGGATAATCTATTGTTGATTTGATTTATGATTCAGTGCAGCTTCAAGAAATTTGAAATGATTTTGATTTCTAATAAAACCATGTGATTGGATTGTGATAGTACAATTGAAATTGTATTTGTCATTTCTTTTCCACTGAAACAGTGCATTTGTATATTTTTAATGGTTTCTTATCAGAGCTTATTTTCTCATATTTGCTCAATTACTATATTAGTCTGATTAAATATGAAAATGGACTGTGTATAGCAGACGCTTCCCAATAAGCATCAGTAATGTTCAAAGTTAAAGTATCAGACAGCATGGGTTGGAGAGAAGAAAGGAAGGATGGTTTAAAATTCCCAACTAACAGTGCTATTTTGGATAATCTGTATAGTACAAAAGGTGTTCAGATTCGTATGGTACCTCGAGCATCTCGGAAGAAAACACAGACAGTACGACAACTGATTGACGAACTATCAAAAAAACATGAAAAGTTAATCTTGAAAGAATCTGATTCTATTAGATCATTGGAAGTTAATGAGAGGTGAGTCTAATTCTTTATAAACATCATCATAATGATTGCCGTTGTTTATAGGATTTGTAAGTTGTTTTGTATCAATATCAATTGTATGTGATTAAAGGACATATTTATAGTCACTATTTGCACACATCTAGAGAAATTTTCTAAACTTTTTATGAGTATTGGGGACACTCAAGATAGCATCCATTTGCACCTCTTTAGAATCTTTTTAAGACATCTATGATTCCAGAAAATGTGATTTTACTTGTATTTGGTAAGAAAACTGCTTTAAAGGATTTTAAGTTATTTTATTAATATTCTTACTCATGCCAATTCCTTTAGTTTGAATTTACTGTCTTTAGTTTAGTGGACTAATTTGAATCAGAAATTAAACAATTGGTATTAAATTTAGAACATTTTGAGGATATCAAAGGATATTGACTGGGACATTTCATTACTTAAAGTCCATGGTTTGCCATTTTCGCTAGTTGATATGGTCCTTGACTCCTTAAATATATGTATAAGCTTATAAAAAATAGTCTCCAGATGGACTAGAAATGTACGAAAATTGCATAATTCCTTCGAATGCAGAAATTTCACAAGCTTATCTTCTCTCTTAGAAGTGAGGTATCCAAAAGTTGAACGTCTTGTTATGTAATCTCTGACACCCAAACTTCTTTCGTGGCAGCCATGCGTAGTGGAAGTGAGTCTGGATGATGGACTATTAAAGAAGAATGAATGAAAAATAACAAGAGGCTATTGTTTTGGTATTGAACATTTTTCTCAATCAGAATGCGAGCGAATATTTTTTATAACATCTGCTTTAATTGCTTATTTTCTCATTATAAGTATTCTTTTAAAATATACATAAAATATACTGATATATACTGAAATATCCTTCAACTGTTCATCAGCAAAGTCTTCAAATATACAAATAATTGAAGCACATATTGAATATATCTGATAATAGATGAATTTCAACAAAGTCTTACCTTATTGGCTATACACAATGTTAACCTACTAATTTATTACCAGTCATGTTTGATACACAAAGATTAGTAATTTTAACCCTTTACTACTATAAATATATTAATTGTATTCTTTGTCCTGTTAAAATGTATGTGATCTATCTTAATTCTCATGATATACTCTAATTCATTCATAAATTATGGTTTCTTTTGTTAGTATTTTATGATCATATAGCATAATATTTACTTAGAAACTGTGAAAAATATTGTATACAGTATTTTATCCCTAACAGAAAACAGACAGATTGTTCATAGGAGTCTGATCAAATTGTTGTCTATATTAGATCAGTGATGTATTTATAGTTTTAGGAAAAAGCTGGTAGTTGAGGAGTCAAATTCTGGCTTAGTGTAAGGATGCAAAATTGTAATGAACATCTGTATGAAAGGTGTATCATTGTGCTAGTGACAATTCCGGATTTAAGCCACTTTTAAATCCAATTGCATCTTCTGGATTTTCAATCCTGAACTGAGGCCATTGGATGATCAAATTTGTATACTGATTCCCATAAAATAATGAGTGAGAAAGGAGGTTAACATTAATTTATCATAGGTTTTAATGGTCAAATTAGGGAGGAGAATGGTGATAAATAATTTAGGATGACATAGGGTCTATTGATTAGTTTTATTAAATGAAATGTAATTAGTGAAGCTAACAAGGACAGGACAGCTATCAGTGCTACCATCCATCAGTGCATGCCATCTATGCCTGACTAATGTAATAAAAGTTAAGTTTATGTTGTGAATGATAGACCATAAATCTATTTGAATGAAAATAGTTATGGTATTAATCATGGATTCATAGGAAATGACAAAATATCTAAATGGGCCATCAGCAAAGACACTAATTGGTTAAATAGCAGAACTCCTGATGTCAATTCAGCTTACATAGTATCTATGAAATAAGTTTTTGTTGGGCACCCTAGATACAAACTTTTGAACATCTGATGCCACTAAACAAAGAGTATTATATATGGGTCTTAGCAATGATAGAGAACAAGGTGATAATTTGATTAACCACTGTTTTTATGTACAATGTAGATTATATTATATTGAGTGATTATTGGTTATGATAGCTCTAACTGTGTATAGCATGTAGTTTACCATAGCTCTAACATGACATGGTCATTGAGGGACAATTTAGACATTATCACACATTTTTTTATTCAGAAGACACTCAATTTTGTTTGGTGAAAAAGTCTCCTGTTAAATCTTTGAGAGAACACAATTTGAAGCGCATATGTCAATCATTTTGTTTTCTTATTTTTAATTTTTGATATAAGCTTACTTTGTGAAGATCTAAAAGAATAAATTATACGTTTAACAAAACTGGTATCCAGGAATTTAAGATGCTGAGAAGAATAATTGAAATGTAAGCAGGTGACTATTGTATTGACTTGCCAAAAACCCAAACCTCTAAATCCAATTCAGTATTGTTCCTGATTGAATTAGAGGGATTATTAAAAAGATTAAGGTAGATTAACATTAAAACATTAGATTAGGATTATTCTGTCAATTTGTTAACGAAGTATTAGTCTTTGATCAAGCTACCTGTGGCTTTAATAATCAAAGCAAAGCAAAATGGCGACTTGTGTGACCATGGGACAGTTTAGGGCCACAGACTCTAATTTAGGAATTCAAAAGAAAACCCACAAAGAAAGTAAGGGGGGAGGAAAGAAGATTGTTTTTGACTCTGCAAAGAAATCCAGAAATCCTAATGAAGCCAAATCAGTCAAAGATTTTAGTGAGAAAGTGTATTCACCCTCCCATGGAACAACTAATGGTTGTAAAACCAGACACAGAATTCCGTCTCTGAGGTACATAAGATCAGACGAAGTTTCCAAGGATTGTGAGCGGTTGTCTATTCTTAATGGAACTACATCAGATATCAGTGTAAACCGGAAAATTACTACACCACGAAGGTTGCAGGATCATTTATCTCTATCTCAAGAAGTGCTGTGTGGTACCTCCGCAAATTGTTCACCAAGAATCATTGGAGAAGTTTCATCTTTATCTGAGAGTACTCTTGAGTTAATAAGTGATAAATCTTTACTGTGTAATTGTAAAGAAATCCAACCTATAAAAGAACCTTCGAGTTCAGAAAAGGAAAGCATCAGAAAAGTGCCAATGCTTTCAACGATAGATCTATGTCAAAAATTTGACTTTGAGGATTCACCATCCTCTGCAGAAAGTACTTCTGCAACCAAACAGAAACCAGACATTGTGAATTATTCTAGATATGGTTTATGTTTTTCCCATCCTAACAGAAAGGATGTGGAACCTAAAAAGCTGTGTGTAAAACCAGTATTAGGATTATTTTGCCGCAAGATGATGTCTGTGACTATGAGTTTGAATGAAAGACATCAAACAATGCCAAATATCTGCATTCCTGAAATGAGGTAAGTTTTGCCTTTAAGTTTGTATAGTGAGCAGATGAATTTATTTTTTTTAAGTCTATCCTGCTATCCTTTTTCACTTGTTACCAAGAGCTCTGTGATGTGCACTAACCTGAAGGTCAAGAGTTGAGATAATACTTTCCGCTGCCAAGTGTGTTACAGGTTGTGCATGTTAAAAGATTACTAAACAGTCGAAAATCGAAAAAGAATAGACAAATGTTACCGTCCAGCGAAATTTGCCTCATATATATATGATGCCCATCCTCATTAGCCCAAACATGTAGAAATTAAGTAGAATGCAAAATTCCATTTCATTGCATTCCTAACTTGTTACTGCCACCATCTAAGTATTATTAATATCATTAGAATGTTCCGGTTTTTTCCTTAAATTTAAATATAAGATCATAGTTAATTTTCTATTGTTAAAATTTAATTTAGAATATGGAATAATCTGGTTTAAAATCCTGTCTTCAAGTTGTCATAACGATATTGATTTCAATGTAGCAAGTGAAAGAAAGCAATACCAGAAACAATTTAACGACTTGTGAAATAACTTTTGTGAGTAAAAATACATGACAGTTGGAATAATCAGCGATCAATATAATTTGATTAAAACTACATGTCATAAATTGAATTCTGTTTTCTTATCATTGTTATGAGTTATGTGCTCAGATCTCTTAACACTGAAGATTCACAACAGATCCTTTGCTGTTTTTGAGCAAAGGTTTTGTTTAGATTCAGTAGTAATCGGTATATTAGATTTTATTTGTATATTTGTGCCACTCATATATGAAGTGTAAAATATTGTTTATGCTAAATTAGTTAATTAGCAGATATGTATAAGCTTATTATCAATAAATGCTGTGGTATGACCATATGGAAGTTTTCATGATTTTAGAAACTATAATCTGTCAGCATTATATTTTTTTTCTGTAAAGAATTTTAGGAATTAATGTCCTAAGGCTATTTTGTGAACATTTTTTGAAAAGGATTTAAGTCAGTTGAATAAAAATTATTTACAAAACCAGGGATCAACCAGAGATCTTGGAGAATGGTAAGCCTGTTAATTTGTAATGTTCTGTATGACAAGATTAATTTTCAACAATGAGCAAGATATTCACATAAAAACTTACAAGAATCACGCAAATAGAACTTAAAAATGCATGATAGTGAATGATAACACCGTTGTTAACCTATTGTGGAGTTGTGTTAAAAAGGATTCAAATACAATTGATTGATTTTTAATGTTGTTTTTTTTATAAGGACTTGGTATATTATTTGACAGTTTTTTTTTAAGCCTTTGAACATTTTTTCGATCATTCACAAACCTAGTCTAATTAGGTTTAAATCAACATTCAATCAATCAAAAACCATTATTAAACCTAGTTTCAATTAAGCTATATATTTATTTTAAACATGGTAATGTTGACTTACTGACTTCTAGTAATAAAAATCTTGAAAACTTGTATAGATTACAGTCTAGAGGTGTAATAAAACATAGAAATAAATTATTCATTCTAAAATTCATCTTGATATGTTGTTTAAGTTCACTGCAAACTACTGACAAAAACATTATATTCAATAATTATACAATACTGATTATTAACAATCCAAGGAGTGGCATGGTGTAGGGCAGAACTTCTGTAATAGAATTTTCATTTTCATTCTATCAGTACAAATTTTTATCAGGAGCGGAACTAAATGTTTACTAGATTAAGGTTGTGGTCTTGTGAATCTTTGAGTGTTATTGGATCCTAAGAAAAGACAAAAGGAACAATGCCAAACATTTCCTGAATTTGACAAACCTTTTACAGGGATAAATTAAATTTTGTTTGTAAAGTGAGAGAAACTTTAGAGTGGATGAATTTACAAAGTAGTTGTGGCATCTGTAAATTAGATGAAAATCAAGTTGAGAATGACAGCAGATAAACTAGCTAGAGTATATAATACATTACCTGATTTAACATTAACAGGTATCACTGTTCTTGTCAGGTCTTATAGCAGGTAAGTTGTCTTTTTCAGGTATTTATATACAGTGGTGTAACCTATTTTCGTGGATATAAGGATTCAATACCGAATTGCGTCAAAGTTAAAAAAACAAAATAATTAAAATTGGTTTATTTCGATTTTCTTTATGAATCCTTCACTTTGACCCATATTTCATGAGCAACCAACTCGGCAACGGCGGCAGAATGCGTCACCTATTTTCGTGTACAATGTTTGATCTATAAATAAGTCTAGAAAAACATGTTGTAAGGATACCGGGTGGTATAATTAACTTCTTTTAGTATTTATCTTTAATATCAATTCATTATAACTAGTGACAATTCCTTCAAAGAACCACGATTTTAAAAAAAAAATAGTGACTGACAAAATAAGATACGTAGCGTGATTTATTGCTAAAAGTCACTGAAACAACATAAGAATATGGTCCACTTTGTGTTCGATAGAAATTTTCTGCTGACACGGAATCCGCTAGTTGATCACGTGACTTCATTTGTTGGACTACATTCTAGCAGACGGCACTTGGAATTCCGATAGAACGCTTGGGATTATAAGGAAATTCGGCCGATAAAAAATGGTGACGTTTGGTAATAACTGAAATTCGCCATTTTGTATTTGTCAAAGTATACATTAATACATTTTACCTTGCTTGAAACTACTGGATTCACTCTACTAGCTGATATTGTAGAGATAACACATGTTTATCAAAACAAACTAATGCGGAGGTCGCGCAATGTCTCACATGTAAATTATTAATCCTTTCCAGAAATCCACGAATAATAGGTTTCCACGAAATTAGGTTACTTGACTGTATATAAGAATTGGTATTCCACTTACTTTCCTTGAATATGAATGTGTTCATGGAATTAAGGGTGTCAAACGATCCCTTTTCATTTATTGACAGGCATTTTTATCCAAACTTCACAAAATGAACTTCAAGAATTCATTCTCAAAAACTTCAACAACTGTTATTTTGAGTTATTGCCCTTGACTTTGTTATAAGATTTCGAAATTTTTGAAAAATATTTCGTGAGCAGGATTGAAGCTACAGTTTTCAACCGATTATGACGAAACTTAATGTGATCATTGGAATTGATAAGATCTCAGACTAGTTCTAACTTGACGTATTTTCGATGAGTTTTTGAGTTATTTCCCTTGACTTTGTAAAAACGCGTCAAAATGCGTTCTTGAGCACTATAGAAGCTACAGATTTCAACTGATTTTTATCAAACTTGGTATGATCATTGGAATTGATAAGATCTCGGACAAGTACTTACTTGACGCATTTTCGATGAATCATTTTTGAGTTATTGCCCTTGACTTTGTAAAAGTCACTTTTACATGTAATCGATACTACAATTCTATTGTAACTGAATATATAGCGTGTACACATATAAATTAAGAAATGAATTCATTTAAGGAATGTACACAGGTTTTTTCTGTTTATACATCGATAAACTGAAAAAATTTTCAGGACATTCCTTATAATTAAATCAACTCGAATACATGTTTATATATTTAAGGCACTAAATTGGCGCATAAATACATAACATTTTAACATAACGTTAATGAACTGATACTAACAATAGAGATGTCCCACAAAACAGGCAATAAAAAATAAGTAGGGCACCTATTTATGGTCTATTGTCTGCTAGATAAAAGTTGATGCAGCGGCCAAATTGGAAGTTCAATTATTGAGAGACGAGTTCTAAATACGTAAAGAATTCATGATATTGTTGGAATTTTGAGTGTGCACATTTGAGGGAATTTAGAAAATACCTTTATCATTCAGTGATGTGTAGATTTCGGCTCTGTTGACGTTTACAGGAATGACATCGACTCTGTGTAGTAGCCACGTCAATCAAACTCAAGTAGTCCATTAAGGGGCGGAGTTTATATTTTTATTCCGTTTACACAGATATAAACCGAATGCACGTGACCGCTGTTATCCAATCAAATTGCGTGATACCGTGTAAACGGAATCGTGATTTAATTATTTATATATATTGTGAAACATGTACAAATTTTTGGGACATTCAAAAATATCCATGACTGGTAATTTCCGGTTTCTCTGTATTTAATTTCCTCATAATAAAAACTTGCATTAGTAAAACACTTTTCACAAACTTCAATTTTTAAGGTTTCTCCCTTGTGTGTATTCTGTAGTGAGCTTTTTTGGTTATAAATTTTTCTACAACATCATGTTTGTAAGGTTTCTCTGTATATATTTTCATATGATTTTATACATATTTTCCTGAGTATCGAGATCAGATAAGTGTTGTAATTTGTAATAAGCCTCCACAAAATGTCGGGTACTCACCATTTTTTTTAATGGACATGAGAAGGAGATCAATCTGGACCAAATAAAGGATGTCTGATTAAACAGATTGTCGGAGTACTCAGATTTTGGTTATCACAGAACTGAACTTGGCAAAACACATTTGTTTCCATGTAGCATGCTTTTCAAGCTTTTGGATTATTGTTTGCAAAGATCACATTTATTTGAAGGGTTACTTTATAATATGAACAATAGGATGACTTTCATTGGTAAAATAATTTTTATCATAAAATTTTTATAGAATATTGTGTACATTAACCTTTATAAGCTTATACCTATGTATATAACTTGATTAATTTGTCAGTAAGTAGTTATATATGACTGATATTTGTTGGATATCACTATTGTTATAGTATAGTAAGAGGATTTACTTATCTATTGTTGGAATGGTCAAGGATATTTGTAAAATTGAGTTATATAGTCATATTTTACATCTCTGTTGGACAGCTTATTTCGTTAATGTTAGATTCTTACTTCATTTTAACTAACATCAAATTGAAAAAACCTTTTTATTGAAGAGTATCAATTAGAGTGTATTAACCATGAGCATTAAAAGAAATGAAACTAAAGAGATCTGGCCTTCTTTATGGAACCTTCTTATCCTCCAGTATATCTGGTACAATCTCTGTCACTGTAAATGATATGCACCCTGTCCTGACAAAAATAAAAGTTGGCATAAAGCAGTCACCATAATAGTGAGTGGTTCCTGGATGATGACGTAAATAACAGAAAATTGATGACCATCCAACTTAAAAATACCAATACATCTAACCTAAACCTACAAATATAGTTATATATAGACAATGAAAGTATTAAGTTGGGACATTCTTATTCTTTCTATATCCTTCTCTTGACATAATCACCTTTTAACCCCCAGAGTTGACAATAATTCACTATTATTGTGAAATAATAACCTTATAACGTGACCTCAATCTGTCAGGCAATGGACGGATTGAATTGTACCACTGAATGGTAGAAATCAGTTACAGAATTTGCTTTTATTCTTCTTTCATTGTTAAGATCCTCGGGAAATTACAATAGGTCAATTGGTAAAATACAGGTTACTGAACTGTTGAGAACAAAATTGTTTTTAGAAGTGTAACAACAAGATGTCAGCTTGAGTTTTGATGAAGATCCTTCTGTGAGATGTTTGGAGTGAATATGGTTATTTAACTTAAAGGAATTTTGTCAGCCTAGCACTGGCTTAGTTTTGATAAAAATTGTCATAGTGTCTTATGAATGGATTTCTGCGAAGCTTTGGACAAGACTTGTTTGACTTCTGTAGACATTGGTTTCTATTGAGCGTTTAATGCAGATTATTTTTGTGTCCTTTTTGGAATGACTTGAATGTGATAATTTGTGGAAAACAAGAGATGTCAAGATAATATAATTAGATATAACAAGATAAAAAAAATTAAATCTGTGATATAGTTATTCAAGTATTGTGTTTTGAGATTAAATTGTCACAATCTGTAACAAATACTAACTCTGGAGTAAGTTATTCATTATTATGTACTAGCTAACCCTAATGATTAAACTCAAGCCAGATTTGTTGTCTAGTGTAGCCTTTATTCTGAAGTTAAGCTCTGACAAATCAGCTTAGAAAGGTGACATTCAAATTAGGTTTTGAAGTCATGGTTGACATTTAGCTTTGGAAACTTATTTTTAGAGAGCTTGTATTCTGTTCAAAGAACATTTACTGAACAATTTAAGGATTCACAGTAAGTGTGGAACATTATGACAGAATTTTATTCAGATGCCATAGAGCATACCATTACTATTCCTATGATGAAGTTCTTCATTGAGACATACTTAAGGACAGAAGCATAACAAATGATTTTGTGTTATGTCAGTGCTTGTTAATTTCAAGAAACCTCATACATACTTCTTATGGTGTAGGCACCTTGAGCAACATTTTTGAGTTGGTGGAATCATGTAATGTGAAGAAATTAGTATCAGAAAAATATCTAGACAAACATTTTGTAGTGCTGAATGAAAATGGATTGTAATTTAACTAGTGAATTTCACATTAAGCTGGATTTGATTTCAAATGTTCTAAACCAGTGATGGGTGCTCCCAATAGCATGAGTACTCCCTTTCCAGAATATGTTAGTAATTTTAGACGCAAGATGGTTGAAATAAGGAATCGTTTTCGAGAGTCGAAACAGCCTGATTCTGATAGAACACGAGACTCAAAACATAAAGGAATTTATTCAGACTATTGGTCTCCTTATGATATGTAAGTTTCTTTTCTTTTTTTAAGAAAAATGAACAAACTATAAAGGTAAAATATTACATTTCTACCATTACTTATCTTAAAGTGACGATTCCATTTCCATTATTATATGAATGAAAGTAGGTAGAAAGATTATCATTATACCTTTAATGTGCATTATCTTGGTTGGTTGGTAGATGACAAGTTAACGTTCTCTTCCAGCAGATGCTGATATCGCAAACTAGGTAGTTGTTTGTAGTCGTAGTAGTTGGCAGTTGGATTGTGTGCATTATCTCTTTAATGTGCATTATATAGCACTATAGCAGTATATTTGATTGATCTGGTTGATTGATTGATTGATTTATGATCTAC